TGAAATCCAAATTAAGTGGGAGGTAGAAGTTGAGTATTATTTGGTTTGAATTCAAGTTATGATGAGATTAATTATGATGGGATAAATTATGATGAGATTAGTTATGATAGGATAAGTTATGATGAGATTATTTTTATTGAGTGTTTGGTTTATTGTATTCAAAATAATAAATTTTAAGAACAATTTATTTTTTTTACAGAAATGCCCTTCATAAATGTAAAAAGTGATGTATAAAACGGGTTGAAAGAGACATTTTTGTCATTTACTTATTTTATCCTAGGATAAGTTATCCCGAAATTACTATACCACCCAAGGAGAAGAATAACTTATTCCAATACTAATTATTAATCTCAGAATAAATTATCCTGAACTTGCCAATCAAACAACAAATTAAATAATACTATAATTTAATTTCATGACTATTTAGTATTATACTTCACACCAAATGACCCCTAAAGTAGTAACAAATGGAGAGGAAGGTAAAAAATGTCCTAAAGTAACAAATGGAGAGGAAGGTAAAAAATGTCCTTGTAAAATGGGGCCCATAACGGCAGGAAAAGTGCATGAGTCTTTGGTTTTTCCTTTGGTATTAGAAATTTTTGAACTTGATCAATAGAGCCAACAAAACCGAAAAATTTTACTATGTAGAGGTCCAATCAATCAAAGTTGGATGAGACTTTACCCATTTTTTGACATGTGAATAGTTGGGTCTAAACTATTAGTTAAGACTGAAAAATGAAATCAAAAGGAGAGAGAATGTAAAGTTTGAGTGGGAATTGCAAGATAATTGTGGGATCCATGTCAACTTCAATTAAATAAATTAAAATATTATATTGAAAGTGGAAAAGTGCAAGGAATAAAAAGTCATATTATTAGTTGATCAATATTTTTATTTTCTATTTTATATCCACATTTATTTAACGTGTTGAATTGAATATCTATTAAAAATATTATTCTTATATTGAAAATTGTTTACACTCTATTTTCGTTAAACTCGCGTTACTTTTAAAAATAGTTCTATATTACAAGATAAGATAAGATTTGTGTATTTTTTATTGTCTTCAAACTAATTTACTATTAACGTCAAATACCAAATTGAAGACATGCATAATTCTAATCACCTATTAAATAAACCCATTAATGCTACTAAAGCAATGGCGTGAAGAAATGGAGGACAATATGAAAAAGGAGCGGAAAAAAAGAAAGTGATATCGTTTGTTTTGAAAACTCGAAAATCTCATTAAATGATTGTTGGTTTAATTTTATCATGTTGCATTTCATTTACACAAAATATAAATTATTTCATTAGTTAAATTATTTATCGTAGTGACTACTGAGAATGTACATTATGTTAGCATTTATTAATTGAGAAAAGGTTCTATACAAACTTGTGGTCCCTCCGTCTCATATTATTAAAAATATTTTTCCGGAATTATTATTTATTTTAGATAATTAAAATAGAGTGTATTAAGAAGAGTTACAAGGGAATTAGTAATTTTTTTTCTACTTATATACAAAGTCTTTAGTAAAGATATGTATAAAAAGAAAGTAGACAAATAATATGACTATATGAGTGAGATGAAAATATATTTTCAAGGCCTACCTTGCTAGCCTTGCCCCTTTATGCGATTTTACCCATACACTGTGAAGATAAATGTATTATATATTTTATAAGATTCAAGTTTCAACACAAATAAAATTATAAAAATGAAAATATAACAGTATGTGTCAAAGAAAACAGTAACAGCAACAGGTAACAAGTTAGAAAAATTAGTGATTGGGTTTTAGAGTGTTGTAACTATTCTTGTCCAGAATAGTATATTTATTGAGATATTTATATATAGTTGATAGAAAAGATATTGGCAGTCAAAAAAAATTGTCAGCATAGTATTAAATTGACCCCACAATTGTCTTTCAATTTCCACCCAAACTTTACATTCTCTCTCTTTTTGGTTTCATTTTTCAGCCTTAACTAATAGTTTGGGCCCGCAATTCACATGTCAAAAAATGGGTGGAGCCTCTTCCAACTTTGGTTGGTTGGGCCTCTACCATAATAAAGTTTTGAAAAAATGACAGAAATTTCACCTTTAAGTTCTCTTATTATCATTATTTCCTATTAGTTTTACAAATCCCCAAAATTTCTCATTTTCGCGTATCAGATTAATGTATCAGCGCATCAGATTAATGTATCTCGCACATCAAATTAGTATATCTTGCACATCAGATTAGTGTATCTCGCGCATCAGATTAGTGTATCTTGCACATCAGATTAGTGTATCTCGCGCATCAGATTAGCGTATCATGTATAAAATATAATGTATCTTACTTAACGATTAATGTATCTCGCGCATCAGATTAATGTATCAGCGCTTATATTATTATATTCGTTTGAGAAATTTCTGTAATTATAAACTTATAAGGGACAAATGGTAATTTTACCTTAAAAGTATGTGATTTATGTCCTTTGCCCTAAAATTTTCCAACAAAGCCAGCCACCAGAAATGGACGAAATCAATAATAAATAATTGTCGTCTATAATTATTATTTACGTACATGTGCAACGCGTAAAGTTGATTTAGTTAAGATTTCCAATATTTACTTAAATTGTTCCAAAGGAGGAGTTAAAAGTTCTAAAAAATTGTGTTCGTATAAATTCGTTATTTATACAAATATATATGAAAATAACTCAATTATACAAATACATGCAAATTATATAAATGAGGTAGGTACGATCCGAAAATATGCAAACTATAACTAAGGAGCTTAATTGAATTTATTATAGTGACTATTTTTGAAATTTCCTCTATTAATTGAGATTTAATATTAAATTTTAGATATAATTTAAAAAATAAGTAATTAATATTAAAGAGTAAACATGCAAAAAATATTACTTTATCTTTTTTTTTATATGATAAAAGAGATAATCAAAATAAAAAATCTTTAGTTTTAAAGAAGTGGGTAAGTAAAATTGAACAGAGGGTATATTATATTTAACACCACTCAACTCCCATAGCTTAGATATCAATCAAATCCATTTTCATTCGCAGCGAAAAAAAAAATGGAGACAATTACATCACCACACTTTGTGATATTTCCTTTCATGGCTCATGGTCACACCATCCCTCTCCTCCACCTCGCCACCCTTTTACGCCACCGTTTCATCACCGTCACCATCTTCACCACCCCCGTTAACGCCCCCTCCATCCGCAATTTTCTACAAGACGCATCCATTTCCGTTATCGAACTCCCTTTTCCTAAAGACGTACATGACATCCCTCCTAATGTTGAAAATACTGAAAAGCTTCCTTCCATGTCCTATTTCTATCCATTTGCTATAGCTACAAAACTGATGCAGCCGCTCTTTGAGCAGGCTCTATCAGCTTTGCAGCATTCGCCTACATGTGTGATATCTGACGCATTTCTTGGATGGACTCAAGAGTCAGCCAAAAAAATTGGTGTCCCGATGTACTTCTTCTCTGGTATGAGTGTTTTCGCCACGACTATAGGTCAACTTCTTGAGATAGAACGTGCTGAAACTATTTCAGCAGACGAGTCTTTTACGTTTTCAGGTTTCCCATGGTTGAAGTTCACAAGAAATGATTTTCCACCTCCGTTTGGAGACCTTGAGCCAAAAGGTCCAGCCATCGACTTTTGGATAGAGCTAGGTATTTCCATTGCAAAGAGTCGTGGGATGATCACCAACAGCTTTTACGAACTGGAACCAAGATTTGCAGACTATTTCAACCAACACCTCGGACCAAAATCATGGTGTGTTGGGCCTCTTTGCCTAGCCAAGCGGCCAATTAAAGCAGCATTCTCTCAAACCGACAACAACAAACAGGAAACATGGCTAAACAATAAATTGACAGAAAAACAGCCTGTTCTGTACGTAGCATTTGGTACTCAGGCTGACATTTCTGCTGAGCAAATACAAGAAATTGCAAAGGGACTTGAATTATCCAACACATGTTTCTTATGGGTGATAAGACAAAATGGTATCGAGCATTTGGCAGGGTTAGAGGAGAGAGTAAAAAACAGAGCATTAATAGTGAAAGAATGGGTAGATCAGAATCAAGTGTTGAATCACAAAAGCATCAAAGGGTTTTTGAGTCATTGTGGATGGAACTCTATTTTGGAAAGTATATGTGCTAAAGTGCCTATTTTGGCACTACCATTTATGGCTGAACAGCATGTAAATGCAAGAATGGTGACGGAGGAAATCGGGGTGGGATTGAGGATCATGCCGAGAAATGGATCAGTGAGGGGATTTGTGGAAGCTGAAGAAGTTGAGAAAATGGTGAGCGTGTTAATGGAAGGTGAAAAGGGAGAAATGGTGAGGAAGAAAGTGAAGGAATTGGGAGAAAATGCAGATGAAGCTATGAAAGAAGGTGGCTCATCTTGGTCCACATTAGACCTCTTTATTGATGACGCCTGTGCCAGAAAACTTTAAATTCTCAACTTATTAGCGTAGTGATACTGAGAATTTAAATTTTATAAATTCTGGAGTTAATTTTAATATTTGTATGCATTTAGTAAATTTCATAATACAAAAGTAATGATTCATCCTAAAATTATTGAGTTAGTTTAAACCTATAACTAATACTATAGCTCCACCCCCTACTTATTTGGGTACGTTTTCCAAGAGCTTCATGTTCTTTCCCTGTTTAATTTGATCAATCTCTTATAAGAAATGAAAATATCTCATAGGGGCTCCAACGACGCTGGCTACACTGGCCAGCTAATATTTGCCACTAAATAAGTTTTTGGCTACATCTACACTAGCCAGTAATTTTTTTGCTATATCTTTAATACAGCATTGCACATCACAAACAATATGTATGGAAGTCGTTCCTCCAACTATGGGCAAAGGTGGAAGTTGTTGGCTCAACCACTGCTCAGTGTAAAATGTTGGCTTTCAAGCCTCTCCAAACCTAATCCCCCAACGAGTATATAGAATAAATACATTCTCCGATACTGGAAAACCCATCAAACTTGAAAGGTAGAAGAAACACCACTCAACTTTTTCAGCTCAAACTAAGAACACAGGGAACTAAATTCAAGTTTGCGTGCCACAAGTCTCATATGTCAACAAAAAGGGTGAAAACTAAGTTTTTATCAGTGAGATAAGGAGTACAAACATAGGGAAACATCTAAACCCAGAATAGAAATAACATGGTCCAACGTTGAGATGAATACGAATTCATGTGCAAATGTAGCTCATTTCTTCTCAGTGTTGATTTCCAATTCCTTTCTGAGCTGCAGAGAGAAGTCATCGTTCACATCATCATCATCCCAATCATCTTCCCATTGTTGGGTTACTTCTTTGCCTTTCTCTTTGTCCTCCCACTCTGAATTATATTATATGAAAATCATGACCAGATGTTACACAAAGATTCAGCAGACAAATAACAGCAAAGTTGTCCTAGAGTCCTACCAGGATAATAGATTTTCCAACAAATACATCAAACGGAAAAGGAGAACATAGGACACATTGTCTTTCAAAGGAATAAAACAAAAGGATACAAAAAAGAAGGTAAAACTCTATTCCAGATTTGAGACGCCCATACAAAAGTTTAAACACCAAGGTTATCAGGACTCAAGTGTGACCACAAAATGCTACCAATATCTAAAAGATGTTACCGTCAATTTTGCAAGTCATCTAACTGTTTACTCAACATGGAAGGATCTGGGTAACATAGTTAAGGACTGTTAATGAGCTACTTGACTCTCAATTATACCCACTGGAAAATGACATACCATGCTAAACTTTGAGAGGAAAATTAACAACAGAAAAGAAAAAGAAAAAGGACCAGATCAGAAATTGTATTAATTGTCAAGCTTCCTCAGAGATATGTCGTTAAGGAGAATGTTACAAAAGTTTTCGAGTACAATCTTTGAGGAAAACAGACCAAAATTACTTGATCCCTAATGACAACATCTTTTCCCTTCCAGCTCCATTACCTCATTAGTTTTTTTCTCATAGCAAATGCAAGCATTTGTCAATACATTGTCCAACCAAAGGAGTCTTAGCCAATATACCACAACACATCCATAGTTTTGTTCTCTTTAAAATAAAAATTCCTTCATTAAAAAAGAACACTTGCAAGCTAGTGATCCTCAGATAGCTGGAGGAAGAGACCCTTCCATAGCATTTTAAAAGGACAACAAAAAGATGAGCACATTAAAGATGAAATTAATCTCATAAATCATCAAGAAGGCCCCCAATCCATCAGTATCTGGAGACCCCCTTCAACGATAAGCCTTAAAAGTCAGCTCCTCCAAACATTACTTAGGTGGCAAGCTGCTAAGATCATGTGTTAATCCAACAAGATTTGAGTGTGGGTGTGGGATGAGCACCACAATTTGTCAACTCACCTAGCATGTGTTGACAACAGCTATGGCTGAGACACACTGGTGGCAGGATTTTTGGATTTATAAATAGTTACATATTTTTACTTGCAATATATGAACAGACATGCGCGCACACATATAGGTACATCTGAAAAGCTTAAACATTGTATGAGAGATACAAATGAAATAAAAATTTAGTACTTCAAAAGAACTTATTTATACTTGTGTAATTCAAATTCATCTCAATTTAATACTGCAATGTATATGTATATTATTAGTCATACCTCAGCACATGCACTCCAACATTGATCCATATTCCTGAATCCTAAGATTAGGTAAAAAAGAATCTAACCTTTAGACGCACCTCTCTACACCAATGTCCATGACTCCATGTAACGGAGTCTGGGAAAATAATGGGGAGAGTGTTTTCTTGAGGAATAACTACAGTTTGTATAGAATATGATGGGTCACCATATAATATAAGATTTGCAGATATTCCTCAAGAAGACAAATCTGGTACTTGAGTGAAGAAGGGTATAGGGGCGGACTCATTATCCCCAAGCTTCGGAGGCTGCAGTTGGTCCTATAGCTTGGCTCCAGACGGATTTCTCGGTCATCGATAAATATATATGGTGGGGCAATAAAAGTTATATATTGGTAAGAACAAATGAATATCATGTGCTTTCTCACTTTCTAGTAGGGTGAATAAACAATTAGTGGAGGTTTGCACATAGATACAATAAACAAAAATTGAGTAAAGTTTCATTGTTTGAGGATTATGTCTTGTGTCTACATCGTTAAATGAACCACAAGCAACTTTTTATATATGAAAATTTGTATGACACTTGTTCGGGACTGAGGCATAGTTGTTATTATTGTAGTAGTGAAGCCTATATGACAGCTAATCTAAGAACAGACTGCCTTGATCAATGTGCTATTCATCAACTGAGTAAAATCAACTGGACCAACCTAAGAAAATACTTGCACTCCTCCTCTCTCCTTCCTGTTCAAAAGTGAAATGCAAGTGTTCAATTCCCAATAAACATGACCTAATTCACTAGGAAGGTTTGGAAGTCAAGATTTAGGGTAAAAGGCTAGTAAGTAGCTGAGTGTTGTCGCACTCTATGTGCGAGAGGTAGGGGTCATTTAGTAGTCAATAGTCATGCAGTCTCTTATTATTTGGTGTGTATTACTACGTGTTGCCCATTTGCTTTGTATCTTGTTATTTTGTTGTCATATTATTCTTCCAATTCTGCTTTGAAAACATTTCTTTTGAGCTGAGGATCTAGCGGAAATCTCTAACCCACAAAGGTAGGGGTAAGGTATGCGTACAACCTACCCCAGACAATTAAACCCACTTGTGGAATTATACTAGGTATGTGTGAACAAATTCAATAGGGCTGGAGAGTGGAGACACTGGGATTCGTTTGACTTGCATATCTTATCCATATTTCTAGAAGAGAATAAATGCACTACATAACAAAGTTCGAATAAATTTGGCTTGACTGGATATGGTTTGATCTTTAAACATAAATATCATCTCTTATCAACAAAAGTTACACTAGACATTTTGAGATATCACAATAGAAAATAAACCACATGAAACTCAAAAGCAACAGCAACGATACAGCCTTATTGGACGCAGAGAGCAAGGAATATTCTACCTTATCTACAATTAAACTCCTTCCTGATTCAAAGTGCAGGTAACATCACATAATACCAGAAATTCTAACTTATATAATACAATTGATGCCTCTCTAGAATGTAAACATAGGAACTGGTACTTCATTTTGATTTTATTCAATTTTTCACTCTTAACAAGAAAGAAGAAAAATGCCTACTCACCTTGATCAATTGCAAACTCCTCAAATTCGTCATCGTCTTCGAATAGATCCATCTTCACCTCTTTAGCGGCTGGCTTTGGTTGTTCAGTCGCCATTGCTACTCCCTACCAAACGAAGAAATACAATAAACTATAAACAAACAAATAACTTGGAGAAAGCATAATTGACGACAGAAGACCAAAATAAGGATGGTAAAACCCTAGCTTCGTTCAATGAAGAAGGGGAGTGCATACACAACTTCTACCTGAAAACTGAAGGGATAAAGAAGATCAAACTTACAGAGATATCGGTAGATTTGAGGGAAAACGCTTTGCTTATTGCTCGGCTTTGATTGGAATCTAGATTTTTCTGCAGTGAAAGCAAGCTTTATAGAAGCAACTGCGAGGTTTTTCTTGGGACTGGAGGCAACGATCAAACGGCGTCGTAACGATATGTGATGCTTTTCACTTATGCCCTCGCATTTTTGCTTATATGCATTTTGACCCCCTTTCGGAGCAAACTTTTGTTTTGTGATTGTTATATGTAAAAATTTTAGGAATGCCATAGTGTAAGCAACAAATTACATCACATTCCTATTTTTTTTCAATTTATAAATTTTTTTTAAAATTATTGTCATTTGGATACATTTCATTCTTCCGGATACATCACATTTGATACATTATACAATTAGTTTGTTGAGATTAAAAAGGAAATCAAATATAAAATTAAATGTCAGTTTTCCAAATCATGTAAATCAAATTGATGTTCATCTTTCCCAAATAACAGCTCCAAACAATTCAAATTTTTAATTTTTCTCTCTCCCAAATTGTAATAGATTAAAAAAATCGATAATTTTATATAGTTATGTATCATGTACAAAAAAACTATGAATATGAAACAGTGTTGCAGATACTTAACAACATGTGATCCATCACAAACATGTTATACACAACTATGTTATACGCATTACAATCATATACATAACTATCAATATGATACAAACTGATTTTGTTATAAAACATTTGTGTTTATGTATCAACGGTAATATTTGATAGCGTCTACAAATACGTAGCATTCTACTAGTTGAATAAGGCTGGTGTATGTATCAATAGTGAAATATAATGAAAATTGTAATAATAATGTATCCAATACATAACTATGAACATGGTGCATACTAATTTGTGTTTCAATAAATTAGGGCTATGTATCAAAATTAATATTTGAAAATGATATATTGAACATGATGAAATTGTAATTTATCATAAAGGTGAAACGAACGAATTATACATTAATTTAAGAATCAAAATCAACTAGATCCATTGAAAGATCTGTTGAAAGCAACAAAAAAAATATCAACAATTTGATATGCTAATAGCAACAAAAAAATATGATTAAGAAATCCTTTCACACTTTCTTTTCTCTTATCAATTCTTGTAGTTTTTTTTCACTTTCAACAATGGCATCACCCATGGATCTCGACCCAAAGTTCTTCCCAGAACTACCAACAATTCTTGATAAAATTATAATGTATCATAATGTTGAAACGAATGCATTATACATTAATGTAAGAAACAAAAACAACCAGATACATTAAAAAATTAAACTCATATGTATTAAAAAAGATGAACAACAAAAAATCAAAACAAAATCAACAATCTGATCTGTTGAAAGCAAAAAATATGATGAATAAATCCTTTTACACTTTTTCTTTTGCTCTGTATCAAATTCCGTGGCTTTTTTTCACTTTCAACAATGACGTCATCCATGGATCTCGACCCAAAGCTCTTACCGGAAACAACCCAACCTTTTCCCCCTTTTTTTTGAGCGTTTTTTCACAATCAATTTTGAAGTTGAAGATGCATCCTTCTTCAACTAAACCCGTAAATTAAAAAAAAAAACTACAAAAATATTTAAGGAAATTGATACCTATGAAGTGGAAAGAAAAAAATAGATGAAGAAGAACTTCTCTACAATTACCTGCAATCGTAAATCGAAAAGATAAAAGATTTGAAATTCAAAAATAGAGTGATGGAGATAATAAGTGATACCATGCAGTGATTTTAGGCGTGAAAAAGGGAAATAAATCTTAGGATGATAGTTTACAGTGATGTATTCGAAAAATTGACAGAGATTGTGGAAAGAGGGATTTTTGTAATTTTTTAAAAATGGTAGGAAATAATAGAAAATAGGGTAAAAAGAGATGTGTAGTTATGAAATTGAAGTGATGTTGTATATGTATATTGATATTTGACGTTTAAATCTCTTGTTATAAATAAACGTTATGCAAAATTAATAAGAATATGAATGTAAAAACTACACTGAAACATTAATAGTTTTTCCTCGTAAAGTTATGATTATAATTGATAGACACCAATTATATATATATATATATATATATATATAATTTTACTAAGAGTATATTGCTTTGATGAATATCATTGTTGTTACATGTAAAATAATGCTATAGAAAAGTAAACATAACATACAAAATCAATTAGGAAGAAAATCAGACTGTCTTGATGTATGATCCTTATAGTGAAATTTGAATTATTTGATTCAATGGAGCCAGTAAGTGGTCACTAGTCACTACTGGGCACATTAAAGTTGGATTCAAAAGTAAGCAAAATATATGGCTATAGTTTCCATCTAATTAAAACGTTGACGTAAATACTATTTATGGATATTTTGCGTTTGTGGTCATATATCAATACTCATTTCTTTATCAACTTAACCGGCGATAAGTACCATTATATGTATGTCATCAACCGCGCCCTAGTTAGCTGACCTAAATCAGCACAAATTAATTTTTTGAGTATCCAATCTTTTTCTAGTGATTGCTATGGCACAAAAAAAAATATCTATCCACTATTAGGAAGAACAATTAAACTACCATTGATATCTTCAACAGCTGCAGAACTAAAAAATATATAGTAGTGTTTCTATTTCTGTATTTATACCATATATTTTTTCTGGATTGAACCTCGACACAAGAGATAGCTCTTGCCACTAATCTTGCCTATTTGGTTATCATACAAGATCAAAATCTCACACAACAAAGAATTGTATACAAATTTATTCAAAGTATAAGTTCCCAAATCCAATGATCTACAATGATTTAGCCCCTCAAAAAAAAAAAGTGAGGAACTAAACATAACACAAGTAACTACCATTCAGGACTCTATATATATTTACATGCAGAATTTGAGGATTCTAAAATTAAATCTTTCGACCTTTTTCACCTTACATCAATAAATTGTTCTTGTGGAACTTCACTCACAAGCCTAGAAGTGCTCGTTTCACAAAATCTCTGTAGAATTTTGATAAGAGACCGTGTCCTCTTCTTTGCTTGGCTGGTTCCTTCTGTTAAAAGTGAATAAAGAAGTGGCATAAGCGCCTTTTCTCTTACCAGAGCGGCTAATACCTCCGCGCCACTATTGACACATAATGACAACAAAATGGAAACACAATACTCTTTTCCCGCTCGAGATGTTGTGTTCTGTAATTGATTCAAGATTACTGGTAATGCTGAAGCTTCTAAAATCGCGAAAGACCCTTCTGTTCTTTCGGCGAATGTAGCTAAAACCGCAAGTGCATCTGTGTTTAGTTCAACTTTATCTGAAGAAGCTAAAAGATTGACTAGTGCTGGAACTGTTCCTGCACCAAGTGCTCTCTCGTGGTTCCTGTGACTCAACAGCAGCCCGAATATTGCAACTATCGCATTCTTTTTCCCGCAACTTGTTCCGTGTTTGATTAAGTCCACTAAAGCTGGAAATACTTCTGGATTTTCGCCTATTAGCTTGTGGTATTCACGAGGTGAAGAGATGTAGAAGATTATCGCAGCTGCAATTTGCTTTGATTCTAGCTTTAGGCCATTCATGAGAACTCCAAGAATCGAATTCAGGCCCCTATTTTCCATGATCACTTTCTTTCCGTTGGAATGTTTCGATAGTTTGAGCAAGGCGGAAATTGAATGCTCTTGCATAGATGGATCATTTGTAATAAGCATTTGTAAGAGTGCTGGGATTGTTGCAGCTTCGATTAACACGGACCGGTTGAATATATTTGATTTTGCAAGCAAGCGAATTTCATAAGCAGCCTTGGTTTTCTGCTGATCAGAACCAAAATACAGCCTGCACGCGAGAAATTCGGAGAGGAATTTGATTGCTTCCGCAGCTGCTGGATTTCCTGGCAAAATAGTCCGCGATATATCACGACTCTTCTTCCTTGATTTAGCTAGTGATATTCCATTATCAGCACAGAATTGTTGGATGAGGTTCCGCAGAGAGGAATTAGGTACTAATTCTGTGCTCTGTAATGTCTCCCCTGTTTTGGGACAGAGGAGGTTCCCTGACTTGAGCCATTTTTGAATCGAAGCGCGATCATAAGTCTGGCCCGTGGACACTGTCACTGGATCCGTCATGAGTTCCAGAGAAATGGGACACCTGAAATCCTCAGGATTCAAGCAACTCAGAGTTTCCAGGTTGGATGTTCCATCTGATTGATCAGAGTTCCCATAAACAGAGTCCTCAAACAAAATTCCCCTGCAGTAGCTCAAGAATCCAACTAAACTGCTTAGCATAGGTACTTCTCGTTCGTAATTCTCCGAGCATTCGAAATTAATCTCATCCTCTAAGAATTTAATCTCCTTGTGACATTCTTCCCAGGTTGTGATATCAAGATAATCAAGAAATTTCTTGATTACACGGGGGTCAGGCTGAAACTTATTCTCAAATTGGTTCAAAAGCAAAATTACTCTCTTCACAGCTTCTTCGTCTTCCGGGTCGAGCTCCATTTTCGCCCTCTGTGCTTGATTAGCCACCATTAGAACTAACTCCTTGATTTCTCTGGAAACATTAAGACAATCCAAAGGAAGAACATCAAGTGCAGTAGCCACAGTTCTAACCAAAACTTGAAATTGACTCGCTACAGAGTGGGATTTCATAAGCATCCAAGTTTTCGCCCCCTCACGCATACAATCATCTAATAAAAACTTAAACTTTTGAAACGTTGTGTGTAGTTCTGCAAAACAAAGAACAATGGAATCTCTATCACTAGGTAGATGATCCTGGATTTCCTCGAAAAAAATCAAGAGGATCCCCACTTGCCTAATCATTTCGCGAACATTTCTCCGTTGAGATGGAAAGAATTTCGATTTGAAACTGCATATGCCCTTAGATAGAGTAATCAAAGAATCTAAAAGGGTAGCCGGAGATATCCCCTCACATGGATGTACCGCCGGGAATGTCAAAATCCGGCGATCATTCCGATCAAATCTTTGAATCATCGATCGAAAAAACCTAAAGTTTAATGTTTGAATTTGATGTGTTAATGAGCTCTGTTTTTTTTCATTTGAGAAAGTTCACAAATTTTGGAATTAGGAGATGGAGTCGGTTAAAGATACCGTTGGTTTAATTTATAAGAAAATCTTGACCCAAACAATGTTAAACAACACGTGGCACCAATCCCCACGCGTTAGCTATTTTGTTTGTTGTTTGACTGGAGTGATTCAAGTACAGTGAAATGTGTACTTGAATTAAGGGACACGTGTACTGTACACGTGTAATGTTGATGTTTCTTGGATCTTGGGTTTGGGCCGTAAGGGCATCGGGTGGGCTGAGATTTTTTTTTGGTAATCTTATTTTTAAGGTGATTATGGTGGGGCCCACTATGCCGACTCTGTTGACGTGGATAGGAAGAGAAGGTGACGTGTTGCTTAGGTTAAGGGGAAAGTGAGAAACAAGTCGAAGCAATTGGATGCTGATAAGGACCTCGGATTTTGGCTTTTTCGGATAGAGATTTTGGGTTCGAATTCTCTTACATAGTAAATGAGCTTTAATTTTATGTTTTATATATGTAGTGGTTATTACCTTCCTTTGTAATAAAGCAAGAGGAGGATTCATGGTTGTTGAGGTTACAATCAAATATTGAGGTCCAGATAAAATTATAGGATTTATATAAATTCATATTTAAGCTTCTAGATCTGTCCGGAGGTATGTTCATATTTATAGCCTACATGGGAGCAACACCTAGAAATTTTATAATAGGAATATAGTATGATGAATTAATCATATCAATTTGAATTTGATGTCTGATATCTAAATTGAAGCTCAACTAAATCTGACTTTCTTTCCTTATCAATCCTTAACATATCTTTCTATTCCTTTTGAGTTTTGAGTGTCCTCAACCTGGTCTCTTGAGCAATAAATTTGGCATATATATACATGTACAAATGTTAGTAGGGGCGGTGTATTTCTTTTTTTAGTAAGATGTGTATTTTTAGAAAGTACAAATAACTTCGTACTAAAGAAAAATAATGCTACGTGAATGGCCGGGGTGGAGCTACTATGCTAAAACAAATAATTAAATTGACACTCATTTATTAGAAAATTATATTGTATTATGAGTAGACAATTAGGACTGTTCAAAACCGAACTGAAATCGATAATCCGAACAGAAAAAAAGTTATTGATTTATCCGTAATGGGTTATTGGTTTAGCGGTTTTGATAACGATTTTGATTTATTTTGTTATCGGCTTATCGGTTCTTAACAGTTTTGGGTTTTTTTCTTAACGGGTTAACTGATAACCCGATAGTAAACTAAATAATTCTATTTATACCATTTTGTATCACTACAACAAAAACAACTTTTAGCGGCAATAAATATTGACATTAATAAAGAGTGCTAAAGTTTTTACCGGCATTAGTTAAGTGCCATTAGAACCAATGTCGCTAAAGGCTTTAGGGACATATACAAAGAGTGTTAATTGCCACTTAAAATACATATTTAGCGGCAATTAAGAATTAATTGTCGCTAATGATCATTTTTGATATAGTGTATATAAAGTCCTTGACTTAAAGTTTGGTTTCCTACTTTTATTTATGGTTATACCAAACCCTTGGTTATAATACAATGTTAAAGTGTTTGCTTTTGAAAAAGATGTAACTTGTGAACTCATGTGCATGGTTCATTTGGTTTGTCACCTTGTTTTTAAGTGATTTTTAATGATTTTTTTTGTCTCAAATCTTAACGGTTAAACTGATAATGATCAATAACCGATAAATTAATATCTTAATGGTTCTATAACGATTTAGCATCTCTACAAACCGATAACCAATAAGTCAAATCGATAAACTTCAAAACCAAATCGAACCGACCGATACGAAGCCTATAGACAACCACTAATATACCTTGAGTCAAGTGTTGTTATGGGACACTGCTTTGTGAAATGTTCAAATAGAGGTATATATATATAAAATAGGTATTTTATATTGTGTATAAATATAAATATTCATATTATAATATTGTTGTTAAATATAATTATAGATATTGAAATTTTGTGGGACTCTACAAGACGTGTTCAACTCGAGTTGAGACTCTAGAAGGTGTGTTAAATTCCAATTAGGATTCTACTCAACCCTAAAACCTAATTCATCTCTATATAAAGGGTACTATATTCCCTTAAATAGACATAAAAAATTCCACCACAAATTCATGGAATATTCATAAAGATATCAAAAATCTTGAAATTTCAAAATAAATTCATGGAATATTTATAAAGAGAGCAAAATCTCGAAAATCCACCACAAATTCATGAAATATTCATAAATAGATCAAAATATCGAGTATTCTGCAAATTCATGGAATACTCAAAAAGAGATCAAATTCAAATCATCTTAATTTGAGAAATACGCTACTAATAACAACCGTCGAATTATGAAGATCAAGTCCAAATCATCCTAGTTCGAGAAATTCGCCACTAACAACCCTCGAATTACAGAAATCAAGTCCAAATCATCCTAGTTGAGAAATACGCTACTAACGGCTCTCGAATTATAGAAATCAAGTCCAAATCATCCAAGTTCGGGAAATATGCCGCTAACAGCCTTCGAATTATGGATAAATCTTATGAGAGAGAAGCCGTGGTGGATCTAGGATTTTAAGGTTGTGGGTGCTTTGAAAGTGGCGGAGTCAAAAATATAAAAAATACATGTTAACAATGAGATTTGAACTCGGGCTTAATAACACTAAAAGGGCCTTAACCACCCACCCAAGAGCCAATGTGCCAATCAAATCATTTATTCATTGGGTGCTCTATGTTAATTTTATACAAATACCTCTTAATTTCTATATAGATATATATATTCCAAGACGAGGTTAATGGGTGCTCGAGCACCCGACATGAGCCATGTGGGTCCGCCCCTGGAGAGAAGAATCAATGGATCAACATATTTGTACTCACAATCTTGGTAAATAAATTATGTTTCTTCATATTTTATTTGTGATTGCAATTTATTTTTATCACTTTAAAATTTGTTGCAAACAATAATAATGCGGCAATGATATTATTGTTGTAAAATCCTTTATTTAATTTGTTGTAGTGAAAGGGTAACAAACCTTGAAGAAACATTTCAAAATTCAATAAATTTTTGGAATATTCATAAAGAGATCAAGTCATCAAACATTATCTTCATCAAAGTTGTCGTTTGACATTCATAGCAATTAAATATATTTTAATGAGGTCCAAATCATCCTATATTAGAGAAATACACTACTAATTAACAACCCTCAGATATTCATAGAGAAATTCAAAAGAGAAACATAATTATTGTACTCACAAATATCCTCAATAAATCTTTGTTTTATCATATTTTATTTGTGATTGTAATTTATTTTTTATCAATGGAAAACAAGCAGATGTGTACTTCATTCATAGTATATATACTACCTAAATAAAATAGGTTTTTTTTCCAATTTAACTGCGTTAAGAGTAGAAGAGTATTATTTTTAATTATATTTTGGAGTTGCAAAGTCATATGAAAATTAGTCAAAGAGCAACCTCACGGTTTCTTTCTTCTCCATCCATTATTTAGTTGCATGACCAATAAAAATCTGACAGATCAGAGAAAGCATTAGCATATAATTTTATATAAAACAAATTAAGTAAGTTCCTAGGAATGACCGAAGAAAGAAAATTAACAAAGTATTATGATTCATTAAATGTGATGCCACTGAAAGGGACGTAATTTAGGGTTTTAATTAAGTAATCCTTTTATTAATTAGTAACGTATGAAATTAAGGTTGGCGGGAGCTATAGAACAGGATTAACGTGGACCAATCAAGAAATGACTAATCTAACGCGCTTAATCTCTCTTTATAATTTGGTAATCACACGTCTTTAATATAATTAACTAATTCATGTATCTATTACAACTATATACTATAAGTATATATTAATCGTTGTATAAGCATGAAAAATACAGATATCAAGCTGTATTCTCATCACTGGAGGAGGGTCAATCAAACAAATTACGTACTAATAAAAACTGAACTTTTATTTTAATTAGAAGTTCGTGTTGCATGTTGCACCAATACTATTTTATTGTCTACATGTTATTAATGGTAGAGCCATTTTCATTAAATGATTTCAACATTATTAAACATATGGAAAGAAATAATTAATTAAAATTTAGAACTTATATATAGTATAATATAATTTTTTGATGAAAAAGTGTTCAAATGAATTAGCCTTTGTGCCTCCACTGTATCTCACTAGTACAAGTATATGGTAATTCTGCTCTAATTACTAACGGTACTTAGATAGAAAGTAAAAAAGTTCCCTATGACCTTTTGTAATATTCACCAACTTCACTAATTAACTCATAAATCACACTTTTAATTAACGAAATCATATGAGATTTTTTAATAAGGTTTATGTGGAACGCGGAATGGCATATATTGATTTTTAATGTAGTAGTTAGGTAATGAAGATTGGAGGTGAATACAAAATATTAAAAGGAGTGATGTATATGATATTGAGCGAATCATTATTTCATTAATGTGACATTAGTGTTCTTGATTTTGATTTACTTTGAAGCAACCATCTCTCTATTAGACATATATATGACTTTCTCTATCTCTACCAAGTATGGTCGAACGAATCCAGAATTTGAAAACTTCGGGTGCATCAATATTACCTATATGAGCTCTAAGCTAAACTTAAAATAAAAATAATGCAAAATGGCTTTAGCTAGATTCAAAACTCTAGTTTCACGAGTGCTTCCTCTAGCTTGTACCAGCAACACAAGGGCACGAATCCACCTAACTTGCAAATTATCCAAAACATGTTCTATTTCAAGATGGATGATCTTTAAATGGCTGACAATAGCCTTTACCTGGAAGTGGTACTAGGACATAGCCAGTTTCTTTGTCGTTTGGCATCTAATTTAGAGGGCAATTAATGTTTTTTCTACACGACAACAACCAAATGAACAATCTGAAGACTTTATTGTAATTGATAACAACATTGTCATGTAAACAAACCATGTGCACCATATTACAAAAACAGTAGTATGATTT